AAAATTATATATGCTTTTAAAATTATATTATTGTGTTTATGTCATGACTAATAATAATAATAATAATAATAATATTATTATTATTAGTATTAGTATTATTATTTATAATAATAACATTTATACCTATAGAATTTGACGGAGTAAGTAATAGATATCAAATAACACAAGAAATCTCTAAAGAATTTTTCCAGAAATTAGGGAATTGAGTTTGAAGAGATAGTTTTTAAGATCTACTTATCAAAATTATTAAAATAAAAATAGACTAATTTATTTTTTGTAATTATTAAAATAAAAAATAGATTAATTTGTTTCAAAAACATCTATAAATAGATAGTTAGAATATATACATGATTCAAGAGGTTGAGAAGACAATGCGGAGGACCACGAATTAGAATGAATGGTGGAGAAAAGTGAAAGTAGCACTATATAAATCCATCGTTTCCTCGTCATTCTTCACCACCATCTCATCAATAGCCTCCCCAAAGGTATTCCAAGGGGAGGATTAATAAGCCTATAATCTTCTTTTCACCCATAGTCTAGGAGAAAAGGAGATCTAAGGCTCATAGCCTATAATAAGATGTCTGGGAAAATAATTATTTCCGCTGTTTCTCTCATCCTCGTGGTAGGTGTGGCAATCGGTGTTGTGGTCACCGTTAACAAAAAAGGTGACGAATCCTCCATCGAATCCCATCAAAAATCTGTTGAGATTATATGTCAAAATACCGATGACCAAAAACTCTGCCACAACACTCTTAGTTCCGTTAAGGGTCATGACATAGCTGACCCTAAGGCCTACATCGCCACAGCAGTCAAAGCCACCATGGACAGTGTCATCAAAGCGTTCAACATGAGTGATAGACTCACCACCGAGCACGGAGACATAGACAATGGTACTAAGATGGCCCTTGATGATTGCAAGGACTTGCTGCAATCTGCCATCCAAAGTCTTCAACTCAGCACTGATATGGTGAAAAATAACAACATCCAAGCCGTGCATGACCAAACTGCTGATTTCAAGAACTGGCTTAGTGCAGTTATCTCATACCAACAGGCGTGCATGGAGGGCTTCGACGATGGAAAAGAAGGTGAGAAGAAGATGAAGGAGCAGTTCCAAACAGAGAGCTTAGACCAAGTGCAAAAACTTACTTGCATCACCCTTGATATCGTGAGTGGATTGTCACACATCCTTGAGAAATTTGGGTTGAAGTTAAACCTTAAACCCGCCTCTCGTCGTCTTCTCAGCAAGGACGGGTACCCCACTTGGTTCTCTGCCTCAGATCGCAAGCTCTTGGCTCAACTTGAACGTAAAGGATGGAGATCACACATCACACCTAATGTCGTAGTTGCCCAGGATGGCTCTGGTCAATTTAAAACCATTGCCGAGGCAATTGCTTCTTACCCCAACAACTTCCAAGGTAGATATAACATCTATGTTAAGGCTGGTGTCTATGATGAATACATCACTGTTCCTAAGAACGCCGTCAATATTCTCCTCTATGGTGATGGCCCTGGAAAGACCGTTGTCACTGGTCACAAGAACTTCCGTGATGGTGTGAAGACAATGCAAACTGCCACTTTTGCCAACACTGCTCAGGGATTCATTGCCAAGGCAATGACATTCGAGAACAACTGCGGAGCTGACGACACCAAGCCGTTGGCTTTTAGGAAACCAAGGAGACATGTCAGCAGTGATTGGCTGCCACATTTTGGGTACCAAGACAACCTTGTACGCCCCAACCAACAGACAATTTTATCGCAATTGTGTCGTCTCCGGCACCATTGACTTCATCTTTGGCACCTCACCCACTGTGATCCAACACTCTGTCATTGTTGTCAGGAAGCCCCTTGACAACCAATTAAACACCATTACTGCAGGACGGCCACATCCGAGAAGAAAACATGAACACTGGAATCGGTATCCAGGATTGCGAGATTGTGCCTGAAGCTGAGGCTCTTCCCAGTGAGATGAGATTCCAGATTAAGTCATACTTGGGTAGGCCATGGAAGCAGTAATAAAGGGGACTGTGGTGATGGAATCCCACTATTGGTGATTTCCTTCACCCTGAAGGATGGTGCCCTTGGGCAGGCGAACACTTTGAAGACACTTTGTACTATGCTGAGTACAACAATGCTGGACCTGGTGCCGCAGTGGAGGGAAGAATCAAGTGGAAGGGTTATCATGGTCTCATTTCTCGCGAAGAAGCTGCCCATTTCACCCCTGGCCAATTCCTCCAAGCTGGAGTTGGCTCTGGAGCCGATTGGTTAAAAGCTCTTCATGTTCCTCACGTCCTTGACTTCGCCTGTTTTGTTTAAATATTAAAAACCAGACACAATTTCTATACCTTCAATTTTATGTGAGAGCGTGTGATGAGAAGACGGAAACAATTATTATTCTTTGTAATTAAATTTCTATATTGAAATATAGAAAAAAAATTTATAAAAATCCTTTCCATTATATTTATTTTCTGTTTATTTATAATTTATAAGGAAGGAATTCAATTCTTACAAACCTAATTCCTTGGACATAATAACAATAATAAATAAATAATAATTATTATTATTATTATAATAATAGTTATCAATAATCTTAAAATAATTTCAATTTTGAAATTATCTGAAGTATTTATAACTTTTTAAAAGAAAATCATTTTCTTCGTTTTTCATTAAACTAAAATGTAATGTATTAAGATTAATTTTTGACATTGACTTCAAAGTAATTAGGTAGGATAATTAAGGGACCCGAATCAAAAGAAATAAAGATAAAGGACAATGTCACTGATTCTTTGAGTTGTATAGGATGCAATATATTTTACTCGTATTCTATAGTATTTTCATGTTAAAATTGTCTACACTTTATTGTCCATCTGGAATTATGAGTCTCGTTTTTAGGTTGGATATAGAACATTTTGTATTGAAATCTGGTTACTTAGCATAATATGGTCTTCATCTCATCCTAGAGACTTTACCGATTCTTAATTGGTATACAGGTGTTACAGGACACTTCAGTCACGATTCAGAAACTTGATGTACCCATAAGCGATAACACAAAACAAAACAAAAATAAGATTTTATATTTTATATTAGGCCCGAATAAAACATACTAAATTAGTAATTGGAAAATATGAATTTTAAAATGACCAAATTTTGATTCATTAATAAAAAATATTTTGGAGAATATTTATATAGATTTTATAGAAATTAAAGATTAACATGTTACTTTGCAAAAAAAAATTTAATTCAGTAATATATTAAGGTAATTGAATAAAACAATGTAGTATTTTTTTTTCGTTAAATTATTTAATTTAAAACTCAATTAAAAATATATTTTTTTTCTGTCAAAAACGCTTTTAAAAATAACTAAAAAAACTATTACAAAAAAGTAGTATTCCATTTATCTTATATTTTAAAAATAAAATAAATTAAACGTGAAAAATATACTCTTATTAACTTTTGGAAAACTTAATTTTTCCTTATATTAATAGTCATTGTGCTTGTTAATCACATTTAAGGTATTCTCTTTTGAGGTTTGGTCCTTTTCACACCATTTTGTTTTTAAAACACGTAAGAATGTGTTGAAGAAAAATTATATAATTTTCACACCATTTTTGCCCCCATCCCCTCACTTTTCTCTTTCAACGATTTTTTTTTATCTTTTAACACTTTTTTTATACATAAAAAATTATTAAATTATGTAAAATCTCAAAAGAAAATAAAAAAAAATAAACTAAAAAACAAAAAAACAAATAAAGAGTTGAATGAAATGCAAAGACTGAGGGGGTGGAATTCGCGGATCCTACATCAATTGACGGGATATCAGATTTGTGAAGACTGAAGGATTTCTCCATCCGTTCAAGCCTTTGTGTTTTTCTTCTTTTTCTACACAACACAACAATACATCCTATTTCTAGAGGACATAGACAAAAAAGAAAGAAGCTTAACCACAAAAATGTGCAAAAAAAGACATAATAAACAAAATAGAAAAGAGGGGGGAAGGGTTGGGGGCTTGTGTGTGCGAAGAGAGAGGAATGAGAGGAAAGTGAGGGGGGGGGTGGTGGGGGGGGGTGGTGGGTGGCGGACTCTGGGGTGAAGAAAATGTGAAGAAGAAGGAAGAGAAAAAGTGAGGAGAATGAAGTTTGTATGTAATTAGAGAAAGAGAAAAATGAGGGAGTGGAGACTGCGGAATTATGGTTTTAAAAAAGGTAAATAAAGTTAAATGATAAAATTTTTATCCTAAGATATTTTTGGAATAAAATTTTTTTTTAAAAAGTGTAAGGACGTTAGGGTGGTGGAGGGAGTAACTCTCCTTCTAACTTAATGTATACGTATTGGGATACTTACAGTGAAAAGCCAATTCCAATGTCATAAATTGATTACAGTTTAAAGTGGGCTTCGAATGGGGCTTTCAAAAAAATGTAGGGGGCATGAAGAAAAAGTACGAAAGTGTAAGAAGAAAGGCGAAGAGGGTGAGCCCAATGGGCTTACGTAGCGGGTCGACAAGAACCATCAAATTTGCAGTTTTCCCTTTCACCTCACTGTCTCTACGGAGACGAGAAAGCAAAGTTGAGAAGAGGACTTGCCTGCGGAAACTATTCATTTCGCCTCATCGACAGAGAGAAAAATATTAACGATGAGATTTCGTGGGAGCTTTATTTTTCGCCGTTTTCTTTCTCAGTTTCGAAAGCAATTCGATTCAAAATCCGAATTCCCACTCCGAGTTTCCGGCGTCGAGCTCCGTTCTTCCTTCGTTCTATTCTTCCGGTAATTCTTTCTTCAATTCTATTTATGCATTAAGGTTTTAGTCGTTATATTAATTCAAGTAAATGGTTATATGTCATTATCAATAAGGGATGTTTTTCAGAGCAAACGATTTCTTGTTCAGTTATTATTGGTTTTAAGTATGGAACAGGCGTACGACGTTGTTCGATAGCGTATTGTAACTATTGTTGTTAATAGGTAGAAGTGCAAGGTTTCCAAACGTCCCCTGAAACTCTTGAACCATAATGGAACAAAGACCTCTCCGCAATTGAGTACCGGACTGCATGTCTCAACAAATTTCTAAATCAGGTAATGCAGTTGCTATTTTCTTATTTCAAAAACCAGTGGAAGGACTTGATTATATTGCGGTTAAAAGAAATCAGAGGATATTAAATTTGGGCAAAAATTACAATTAAACATAAGTTAATCTTATAATTGGATTATGTTTTAGTTCATTATCTTATGTTTTATTTCTGCTGCTCATTGAAGACAGCCAGAAGCATCGCCATCAGAATATGCAAGAGCTAACAAGGAGCTTCGGAAGCTAAGTAGTTCTGTGGACCTTATTAATGAATTGAGGACCAAACAGAAGGTAATGAGTTCATGCAACTTTATCTTAGCAAACAGCAACTTGCCTGAATGGCAAGTGGTGTTACAGGATCGTTACTTTTTAAGAATCACAAAGATGAAGAGAATAATAAAGCAACACTAAGCTATGTCTTCTGATCAGTGTATGATTTTCTAAAATTGGTTTGGTAACACAGATTATATTTCTTTGGGACGGGACTTCTTTTTCCTCAGGGAGTCATTAAATTATGTAGCTAAGTTGAGTTAAGACTGAATGTATTTTGTGTCTTAATTTCAGGCTGGAGTTTAACCTTAATTTGAAGAGGGAATTTTTAATGTTGAAAATCTGTGTTATTTATGACTTCATTATTGTAGCCCGATATTTAGTTAATCATACGTGCTTAGTACACATAGAGTTAATGGTGTATAATAGTGTCATTTTTCCATTTCGTTGTCTCCACCTAGCAGGAAAAGACGTTTGTTGAGTTGTTTCTTCTGTGATAAAATTTACCACATAGCCTGCTACCTATCTATATGCACCTGATATCTATCTGTTTGCATACTCAAGTGCTTTATTTGCAATTCTTTTCCGATTTAAAGAAATAAGAAGAAAAATGGGGAGGATAAGTTAATATTTTTTTCTGTGGCTATCTAGGGCTAGTTTGTTTAAACTTAAAATAAGTATTTTTTAAATAAACAATTTTTAAAACAATTGCTTATTGGAGAAACACATAGGATTTGCTTATTAAAATAAGTTGAAAACTACTTATTTTTAAAATAAGTAGATTAAACAAATAGATAAAAAAACAAAAATCAATTTATTTTATTAAATAAGCACTTCTTTTGTCAAAAGAAAAAAAAAACCACAAACAAACCAACCCGTTATCTAATGTTATTGATTTACTATATTAAGGAAATTGATGGCTTGAAGTCACTAATGACGGAATGTTCTGAGGATAAAGACATGCTAAATATGGCTACAGAGGAAATGGGTCAGGCCATAGAAGAAGAAAGAAGACTGCAAAATTTGCTGCTGAAGTCATTACTTCCTAAGGATGATGCTAATGGAAGAGATTGCATTTTGGAGGTACGAGCAGGTAAAATATCATGGCTCAAAATAGATATCTATTATTATTGGTTATCAAACTGTCTTGTTCATCACTCTATTATGGTATTCGTATGCTTTTAACTCTCTGTTTTCTGTTTTGTTATACCATTTTTTGTCCAGGCACTGGAGGGGAGGAGGCTTCCCTGTTTGCAATGGATATCTTTAGAATGTAAGGTTTCATTTTTGTAACTGGAATTTTGTTAGATTTAGGAACTGTATTTCGTTTTCTAAAAGCGATCTTGTTTGACATGATATAGGTATGAGAAGTATGCTCTCAAGAAAGGCTGGAAATTTGAAGTAGTAGATATAGCTCAATCTGATCTGAAAGGTTACAAGGTACATATTTCTTATATTATTGTAGTCAATAAATATGAAGAGGATTTTGTACTGTGTGTCTCTAGTTCCTGTCAGTAGAGTTGAATTTCATCCTGCAATTGATGTAGTTTGGACTATTCTTTCTCAGGAGGCTAGTGCAGCAATTGCAGGAGTTGGTGTTTATGGGAAACTAAAATTTGAGAGTGGAATCCATCGTGTCCAGGTTTTAGTTACCGCCTCTCAGATGTAATCTATATGACTATAGTTACATCTACTTTTGTCAACCACTTACATTCTACTTCTTACAGCGAGTTCCTGTGACAGAAAAGTCAGGACGAATTCATACCAGTGCTGTTTCTGTTGCTATTCTTCCTCAGGCTGATGAGGTAATTAGCAATTACTTCCTATGAATCAATGCCCTGTGATAAGAAACTTTAAATGTTTGTTGATTTTAAGAAAATAAAAAGTATATTCAACTGCTGGTTACTCTAAAATAATTATAAAGAAAAAGACTTCAAATATGATTTATGTCTCTATTTTCATCCTTTCGTTCTGTTAGGTCGATGAATGAAATTACAAAGGTTTGGTTAAGATCTTAGGAGAACCATACACAAAAGATAGCTGTCATAGTTGAAGGCATAAGGCCTTATGAAACCCATACACCTAATGTGAGGGTGAACTCCCATATCTTACATTTGAATCCTAACAATTGCCACGCTCCACAGCCCAAAGCCACTAGCTCTTTAACAAGTCCCAAACAAAGCCTACAACACTAGTTTCACAACTTACACGACTGGTGTTTGCAACCAAGAATCACGGTGGAAATTTTTGATACCAGTTGATAGAATTCTGGTATCTTTATTGCAGAAAATACAAGGATGAACTTCCTAACTTACAAAATAGACCTCTCACTCATTCTTCAAGGGAGTGCACCTCCCAAGCCAAAGGGCTCTAATTCTCTTACAGATGACAAGATTTGCCTCCCTTTCATCCCTTGTATTTATTGTCATGCCTTTGTTTTCCTAATTATCTTGCCCTAGGCTAACTAATTATTCCGCTGTGGGTTATCTAACTGACTTGTTCCTACTTTTTGCTCTTTTCTTCTGGTGACTCATAGTTGTTATGCATGCGCCATATGCAGGTAGATGTTCAATTGAAGAATGAAGACATAAGAATCGACACCTATAGATCTGGTGGTTCAGGTGGTCAGCATGCAAATACAACAAACAGTGCTGTTAGAGTAACCCACATTCCAACAGGGATTATGATTACTATACAAGATGAGCGGTCTCAACATATGGTGAGTGGTCCAAAATATTTGGCATGATTCACATTTAATATTTTTTTATTGGCAGTGTGGATTTTGTTGGTACATAGCCTCTTTTTTTAATTTATAGAGTGCCTCAACTAACTCCAAAATTCTGTGAGCTGGAGTTTATAATACTACTTCAATTCCTCCTGGTTGACATGCAATTTAACTCGCCCTGAATGACATTTGCTTATACTTTAAGAGATTTATTATAGAGGCAATATGTTTTGGTGTGTGTAGCAACTTTTAATTTCTTATATTGGTTATGCTTTTCATATGACATGGATGATGCCATCGTAACATTTCCAATTGAGTGAATTTCGTGCTGCATTTGTTTTCTCGGTTGAAGCAGGCAGACAGCTTAAGTTAGCTGTACGCGTTTTGCTTGTTGGTGTTGTGATTTTGGAAAAGCATCCTTGTGGAAGAGCTATATTTTAGTCTGAAAACTTTATGTCTAAGTATGTGGATAGGCAAGCCCGCCTTGTCAACTAGTTGAAAAAGCAGAAAAAATCATTATGCCAAGTAATTAAATATTCTTTCCTTCTAAAAATTCTTGTTTCAGTAATCAAAATCTTTTTTGTAAGGGCCTTTCTTACTCCTTTCGTGAGGCAGACTTGGTTAATTATGGTCTACAATAAATTCACTGTTTTGGTTTCTCCGTTGTACGTTTTTCTTCTTACACTCTATATCTTCCTTTTTCATTTCCTATTAGAACAAGGCCAAAGCTCTCAAGGTACTCTGTGCAAAACTATATGAAATGGAAAGGCTAAGACTTCATAGAAGTCGATCAACTCTTCGATCTGAGCAGGTAAATGAGATGTCACATTGAACTTGTTCAATTCCCTACCCTTTTACATTCTGGATTGACTTGGTGTTTGTCAAACTGTTCAGATTGGTAGTGGGGACAGATCTGAGCGCATCAGAACATACAATTTTCCTCAGGGCCGGGTAACTGATCACAGAGTTGGTATCACTTATCACTCGGTCGATGATGTGATGCAAGGTGAAAATCTTGACGTCTTCATCGATGCCCTTCTATTGCATGAAGAAATGGATGCAATTGCAACTTTTAGTTCGTCTCAGTAAAACAAGCGGATTCAAGTTTTCTGCATTATTACTATCTTATTAGTATCATTTGCTTCTGAAAAAAAGAACTTTCGTATTTTTCCTTGATGCAAGGTAGAGGAATAAGTCGAGATAATATATATAACTTACAAGAGAGGCTTGAGAGATGGTAAAACATGAAATGTTAATGACCTTTATTTTTGTTTTTGCATTGGTTGACCTAAGTGAGCTTTCTCGTGTCTTAAATTTTTTAATTCCTAACATAAGAGTTAGTGGGACCAATCTGCATAATTTGTTCTCCTTGGAATGGCTGTTTTAACTATGGAAGTTGCTTCATTCTTAGGCAGTTAGACCATGCTCGGTGGACAGGAATGTCACCTTTCTCTTGTTTCGTTCCTCTTAACACTGTTGAACCCCTCACCCAGCTACTACCTCGTACGATATAATGAGTGGATCCTGTCACTGCTCCAAGTAGCTGTCAGGTACGACTGTTAGTTTTTTCCTTCACTTCCTTACGACTAGGAAATGTTGATAGAGTGGAAGAAAGGATGAGATACAGAAACAAAAATTCGAACTAATTATCCAAGGAAAATATGTAGATACAATGTAAAATGAGTGTAAGAAAGTAAATGTATAATACTCCAAATCTATGTTAATAAAAGAAAAACAACACCTGTTGTAGTGTAATAATTCATTTCGATATAATTAAATGTAAACGACTAAGATTGTTTTGATTTAATTATTCATTTTATTTCTGTCGTTAAAATGTATTTTTCCATTTTATTTATTCATTTTTCATTTTCATTTTGTAATATCTCTTTATATAGAAAGAATATAAGATGGAAGAATTTAATTTTTCTCATAATAGTTGCTGCACGAAATCTAAATCAACATAATTTTTTTAAATCCTAATAATTCTGTCCAAATAACACGCGAGTTATCAAAAACAGTTTTTTTGGGGTGTCCAAATGATTAATTGAGTAAGCCCAGAAAAAATAAAATAATTGAATAAAGCCTAGAGAAATATTTGTGGTCATATTTCGGGTACATAAGCCACTTAAATTCTGAGACAATCTTATCAAATGATACGATTGTAATAATGAAAAAAAAAACTTTCAATTTATGTATCCCTCTCAATATAAAATTTTTGGTTTGATTAACTTTTTGACAGATATTTGATGTTGACTGAAATTTTTTCATAACATTCATAAAACAATTATAGTAAAAGGATGATAAAAAAACTTTCCATCCTTACATAATGAAAAGGGTTGGATAAAGAATAATATTGATAAAGAAAATCTTTATGACAAAAGAAAGTATGATTTAGATTGATGTTGATTAATGTTAATCGAAAAATAAAAATGTTTCAATGCCAACTACGTCAGAAAAAATATGATGGGCTTTGTTTTAAATGTTGATGAGGCAAACGATGTCTTAATCTTAATTGAGTTAATAATATCTTGATAAAGCAATAAAGTTAAGTCCACGATCTTTTAACCTTGGTTAACCTCATAACATCCTGATTAAAGTGTAGCTGGTAGCATCTCTTCTGATACCGAATTGACAATGTCTTTGACAATTTCTCGTATAAATAAAATATTTTATCGTAAAATACTTCAAATTTTTTATAACAATAAATTATTCTCTAAATTGTTTTTCTCTAACGTCATGGATATACTTACCCAGAATAAAAAGGTTAAAGCTAGTAAATTTATTTTCGAAGGGTTATTTCGTACTGTAACTTTTCCATTAGTTACAAACAGTAGATTTCAATATAATTTCATTATTGAAAACTTAATATATGAAATTTGATTGCCCCTGAGTTTTCATTTCAATACCAGTACTGTGTGGTTAATTTTTACTTCCAGATCTCAGTTGGTACACATAATAGCACTTGAAAGTGACCCAGTTATACATGGCGACGCATCGAATCGTTTCGAATCTATAAGGACAAAGCATTATTGAATCTTAATTCCTTTTCTTGCAAGGTAGAGTCTTGAATTTTGAAAGGAAAATAAAATAAAATAAAAAAGATTGATAGATAGCCTGCAATTTGCACTTATAAAATATAAAATATAAAACAATATCACAAAGCTTATAGATTTCAAAATGACATGTGGTGTAGCTCAACAAGACAACGATTGCTAGATAGTTGGTACAATTAATTGCTAGATTTGGGTCCCTGTAAAAAAAAATAAAGATCCCAACTTGGGCAAGAAATGGATAACGAGGTGCTTTATTTAATACATTGTTTATATTATGTTTCCTGTTTCGGCGCCATAGGATCCACTTTTCATTGTCACAAGTTTCTATCATAACTGCCCAAAACGTAGATCTAACTTATAAGAGGGACAATATTTCTATAATGCAAAGACTTTTTTGTTTATTTTGGGTTAAGAAATGTCCTTTTAAGATCACTGTGAGCATCAATTAATGCGATATTTGTTTTCTATGTTTTATATTTAATTCAAAGAAGATTACTTCTCGTAAAAAAAATATGTAAAAAAAAAAGAGATACCCCTTAAAATACTGAAAAAAAAAAGTATTTTGCACGTCATTACAAACATCTAACTCCCCAGACATCATAAGGGGTGTCAGATTTTGTCTAAGAACACATACCATGAAATCACCTAATGTGAAAGAATTACTAGAGAATCCTCAATTTCTTCAAAGTGCCCTGAAGGGATCATCCAGAGTGAGTGCGATGGAAGATTTTGCTAACAGCTTTTGCGGTTGGAGTTGGGAGGAGAACAAGTTGTTCGAGCTAGCTTTGGCAGTGGTAGATGAGCAACACCCTGAACGGTGGGAAGTGGTTGCAGCCATGGTTGGAGGAGAAAAAAGTGCAGGAGATGTTCAAGAACATTACGTCATCCTTCTCCAGGATTTACTCGTTATAGAATCTGGAAAACTGGACCATAAACTTGGGGAAGTTATGCCTGTTGTCTTAGTTGAGAGCAAGGAGTCCATATGCTTCTCCCACGACGATTCAACCATGTAACTCCCTTTTATTTGGTTCAAACCATATTCTTTTAGAATGGAAGCAACAAATATCTGTCATGAAATTTCTTGGTCTCGTGTTTCTGTTGATCAAGCTGTGTGATTGATATGTTGATTCCAGCTTGGTCATTCAATTGGAAATAATATGGTAATTCATTTATGCTTCTCTTGTTCTTTTTTCTGTTCAGTTGAGTAGAAGTCTCACACACCTACCTCTTGAACTTTCTGTGTGGGTGTACTTGATTTTGTGTTCAAATCTCTATAGTGTAGCTGCTGCTTTTGATTCTTCATTATTTCTATGGGGCAACCAGGTTGTTCTTGATGTTTGTTTCCCATTTCATTCCCTCATTTGCTATTCTCTCTCTACCTGGTTGAATTAGGCCAAAACACACGTTCTGCTAGAGAATCTGATCCATTTTAAGCTGCTTGGAAGTGGTAAATAATTCAAACATGGATAAAATCAATCGTTAGAAAAGGTCACCGGGCAAACGTTAAAAAAAGTTAGAACAGAGTATAGTCCTTAATTGGTTTATCTGGTAGCATTTCAAGTAGTGATTTCAAAATGTAAGGTTTCATAAATACAATGTTACGTTTCTAAATTTTAAAACTTTTGTAACATACAGATCACGGACAGTATAAAGTACTGCAGCAAACATTTCTAAAAGAAAAGAAAAGTCTGATATGATTTCAGTGTCCATCTATATAAACAGAAATTTATGTGCATTAGAATCCAGAATGTGGCATAACTTGAATCTCTTAGAATGTTCCATACATTCATAGTTATCGTATCCGT